AAATTTGGCTCTCAGAGGACGAAGCCTCTGAATTTAGACACAGCCACAGTGTCCATGTTAATATCTTGTTATTGGGCCTTATTTACTTGGTACTGATGGTGCAGCCTCACACGTCACTGATACAGGAGAGCTGGCCTCACCTGTGGATGGAGGATCAGGGGATCAATGGTCCAACCAGGATGCAGAGGAGGAGCTGGAGAGAGCAGCCAACTCCAGAACAAATCACAACCCAAACCTGCTACTGCTCATCTTATTCAAACCAAAAGGCCTTGGAGCTTGATGAAAACAAAAATCTGCCAGAATAAAACCTCTGCTCTCTAAAAAGAGRGTTCCATTACAGACTAAAGGAAGGAGCTCATGGACAGAGCCTGCTCCTCAGCTGAGGTGTTTCCAGCCTGCGATCAGGATGCCTCCCTCTCACTGGGAGCAGAACTTCAGGAGTGGGTTCTGATGAGAACGTTACTTTACGTTTGGGGAAATCCTGTCAGATTCAAATATTCAAACTCGTAAGGAAACTCTCAAGATCCTCTGAACTGATGAAATCAGATTAAAATGTCAGACATGTTATGGTTCAGTGTGCGAGAGGCAGAGCCAGCTCTTGGCATAGGCCAACTAGGCGGTCGCCTAGAGCGCCATCTGCTGGAGGGGGCACCAAACTGCAGAAGAAAAAAGTAATTATTTATAATCCCTGGTTGTAACTCTGCTCAGCGCCCCTTCTATTTAGCTTTGTCTTAAAAAACTATAATGAAGTATTACAGGAAAAAAAAACTACTCTACCCATAAAACATCCCCCCCACCCAATGCATCGATCACCCCCACCCTCTCTCTCATTTGATTGATGTTGCACTGACTCGTCCTGCTCCGACACTCTGACGGGGGAGGGGCTAGTAGTGCCTCTCAGGTAGCGGTTCATGTTGACAAACTCACTAACAGCAAGTCTGTATTTTGTTGTTCAAATTGGAGTGGGTGGGACAAAGTTCGAGGTGGGGGGGGGGGTGCGCTTCAACTCGCCTAGGGCACCAAAATGGCTAGAGCCAGCACTGGAGAGAGGTCAAAGTTCAGCTTCCTCCTGTCTTCTGAAGCAGATGTTATTGTAGCAGGAACGTAAGAAAACAGTTCCACACAAGAACGTTG